GGTGAGGAGGCGGAGCCTGGCCGGGCTGGGCGGGTCCTGGAGCTGCCGCGGGCGGGCGGGCGCAGCTTCAGCGGGCCGCGTAGCGGACATGGCGGGCTCTCGGCTCCCGCGGCAGCTCTTCCTCCAGGGTGTGGCGGCCGTCTTCATGTTCGCCTTCGCTTCCCTCTACACGCAGATCCCAGGTGAAGGCACCCAGGGTGGGACACCCCCAGCCTCGGCCCGGGACCCCACGTCCGCTCAGTCCCCGGCACTCACGCTGTCTGGGGTTGGGAGTGAGGTCCAGGCCTTGACTGGGGTTAGGGGCGGCGGTTCGTGTCCTGCAGGCCGCTGCGGGGGCGGGACGATGTGCAGTGATCCGTTTCCCGTAAGGCTCTGGACTCTGACCTGGGGTAGGGGACAGAATTCGGAGGGAGGTGGGAGAGAGGCTTCCTCCCAGACCTGGTGGGGCTGAGACCTGGAAGAGGACAGTGAGCTCTGCCGAGCAGGAGGCCCTGACCCTGCTACTTGGGCAGGCCTCTAGCCCTGGGCGGGCTTTGGACAGGTGCTGAAGGGTCGGGTGGGGGGGCGGGGACGGGGTCTAGAGGGACTGTGAACCCTGACCTGGGGTGGAGGTATGTGCAGGCCCTGACCTAGGCTGGGGTGTCCGCAGGCCCTGACTCAGGGAGTCTAGCCTGCAAGGGGTGTCCAGGGCCTGGCCGTGACGTCCCTTCCCACAGGCCTGTACGGTCCCGAGGGCATCCTGCCTGCAAGGAGGACGCTGCGGCCACAGGGCAAGGGGCGCTGGCAGCAGCTGTGGGAGACCCCGACACTGCTGTGGGAAGCGCCAAGACTGGGGCTGGACACGGCCCAGGGCCTGGAACTGCTGAGCCTGCTGGGTGCACTGCTGGCCCTGGGGGCCCTGCTGCTGAGCCCACTGCGCCACCCCGCCGTCTACCTGCTGCTTTGGGCTGCCTACTTGTCAGCCTGCCAGGCAAGTGGGACCCCTGTCACCAGCTCACTCCACCCCCTATGCCACCCACCCCATCTCTGCCTTACCTGAGTCCACAGACACACCCACTCCCTGACAGCTTCTTTCTTTGCAGGTGGGCCAGGTGTTCCTTTATTTCCAGTGGTGAGTGACCGCTGGGTCTGGGGCAGCAGGAGGCTGGGTGGGGGTGGGGCGCTCTCCCTCTCCTGGGAGGACCCTTTGAGGGAAGCCGCTGCCTGGGGAGGGGCTCTTGATCCTATTTCCTCTCCCCATAGGGACTCCCTGCTGCTGGAAACTGGCTTCCTGGCAGTGCTGGTGGCCCCACTGAGGCCAGCCTCCCACCGCAAGCAGGCCCCCCAGGGCGGGCGGGCAGGGGCCCTGCCCCATGAAGGCCTCCCCTTCTGGCTGGTGCGCTGGCTGCTGTTCCGCCTCATGTTCGCCTCAGGCGTGGTCAAGCTGACCAGCCGCTGCCCGGCGTGGTGGGGGCTCACTGGTGAGGGGCCCGGGCTGGACCTGGGGCGGTCTGGGGGCTCTGCCAGCCCTGACTCCCACCCTTACCTGCAGCCCTCACCTACCACTACGAGACCCAGTGCCTGCCCACACCCGCCGCCTGGTTCGCACATCACCTGCCCGTCTGGCTGCACAAACTCAGCGTGGTGGCCACCTTCCTCATCGAGATTGCTGTGCCGCCCCTGTTCTTCGCCCCCATTCGACGCCTGCGCTTGGCCGCCTTCTACTTGCAGGTGGGTGGGGGCCGAAGCTGTCAGAGCCAGGACAGGGCTTGGCCTTCAGCGCTGCTCAGTGTGCCCTGTTAGGGACAGTGTGGCCCTCAGGGACAGGTGGCGACCGCTGTTGGGAAGGCGTTGTAGCAGAGAGAGGCACCCCGCAGGGTGGAGGTGTGTGCCTGCCAAGGTGGGGCTGTGGCATGGGGCAGGGCGTCAGTGTCCGGGAGCACTGAGAGCCTGGCTGCCCCCAGGTGCTGCTGCAGGTGCTGATAATCATCACCGGCAACTACAACTTCTTCAACCTGATGACGCTGGTGCTCACCACTGCCCTTCTGGATGACCAGCACCTGGCTGCAGAGCCTGGCCACAGCAGCCGCAAGAAGACAGCCACGTGTGTGTGTCGGCCGGCCTGGGCCTGCTCTCCCCAGCCCCGCCTCCCAGAGGAGTGGGTGGCACTCTAGCTGCACCCCAGTCCCTTGGCTGGGGACCCCTGCTGACCCATGACTATCCGGCCCCACAGCCCGGCCCAAGGTCCTGCTGGCCACACTGTCGCTGCTGCTGGAACTGACCATCTACGGGTTTCTGGCCTATGGCACCGTGCACTACTTTGGCCTGGAGGTTGACTGGCAGCAGCGCGCCGTCCACTCCAGAACCAGTGAGTGTCAGCTGGGGCGGGCCAGAGGGCAGGGGCGGACCAGTTCTCACACCCCACTCCTCCCCAGCTTTCACCTTCCACCAGTTCTCTCAGTGGCTGAAGACACTGACGCTGCCCACCGTGTGGCTGGGTGTAGCCTCCCTGGCCTGGGAGCTGCTGAGTGCCCTCTGGAGGTACATGGCCCAGAAATCAGGGAGGGGCACAGGTGTGCAGGCTGGGCCTGACGTCCTTGGGTCCCTGCCCACAGGTGGACCCAGGTGCGGGGCTGGCTGCGGAAGCTCAGTGCTGCAGTCCAACTGTCTCTCGTGGGTACTGCCACCGTGGCCTTGTTCCTGATCAGCCTGGTGGGTAGCACTTTGGGGGCGGGGGGGGGGCCGGGGGCAGGGCAGCTCTGATGACCACCTACCTGCCTCCAGGTGCCGTACTCCTACGTGGAACCGGGGACCCACGGGCGCCTTTGGACTGGGGCCCACCGCCTGTTTGGCACCGTGGAGCACCTGCAGCTGGCCAACTCCTACGGCCTCTTCCGCCGTATGACCGGGCTTGGTGGGCGGCCCGAGGTGGTGCTGGAGGGCAGCTATGATGGCCACCACTGGACGGTGAGCCCTCCCAGGCTGGGTGGGGGGGGTCCACATCAGCTGCCCAGCTGACCCCGGCCTGCCTGGCAGGAGATTGAGTTCATGTACAAGCCTGGGAACCTGAGCCGGCCACCCCCAGTCGTGGTGCCCCACCAGCCTCGCCTGGACTGGCAAATGTGGTTTGCAGCCCTGGGCCCGCACACACACAGCCCGTGGTTCACAAGCCTGGTCCTGCGCCTGCTGCAGGGCAAGGAGCCAGGTTCGCAGCGAGGCAGGGAGGGGTAGGGAGGGGAGGGAGACAAGGGGGCAGGGAGGGCACGGCAGGGGGCCATGTTGACCCCTCTCCCCACAGTGATCCGCCTCGTCCAGAGCCAAGTGGCCGGGTATCCCTTCCACAAGCAGCCGCCCACCTACATCCGAGCCCAGCGCTACAAGTACTGGTTCTCCCAACCTGGGGAGCACGGGTAAGGCCGGGGTGCCGGGTGGGGTGTGGGAGCCTGGGGTGCCGCCAGGCTCTGAACATCGGGTCCTGCTGCAGCCAGTGGTGGCGGCGCCAGTGGGTGGAGGAGTTCTTCCCACCCGTATCCCTGGGGGACCCAACGCTGGAGATGCTGCTCAGGCAATTTGGGCTGCAGGTAAGGGGGTGTCACCCAGGCTGAAGAGGTGGCAGGGGTGACCCCAGCCTGCTGGGGTGAACCCAGTGAGCGCTTCCTCTACCTCACTCCCACAGGACAAGAGCCCACCCCGGGCCCGTGGCGCCAACAGCACCCTGGCCCAGGCCCTCCACTGGACACGGACTCAGCTCTCTCCCCTGGAGGCCCCTGCCCTGCTCTGGGGGCTCCTCGGGGCCGTGGGCGCTGTCAGAGTTGTGCAGGCCCTGCTAGCACGCTGGTCTCTCCGGTCCTCCCCCGCGGCACTAGCCATCGGGGAGAAGCGCAGGCCAGCCCTGGAGAAAGACCCTGGAGCTACCTCCGAACCAGCCACCCCTGCCCCCAGCCCCTGCAGCAGCCATTCTCGGACCACCCGGCGGAAGAAGTAGCTGTGTACTGAGAGGGCCAGGTCCCCAGGACTGCTCTGGCTTCCAGCAGGACAGGACCCTGCCACCGTGCCTTAGCTGACCCCGCAGGGCCAGGCATAGGTTTGGGGGACTGCCCCTGGGGTTCGTGGGGTGCTGTGTTGAGGACTCCGGGTCCCCCGATGCCAACCAAACCCCTCCCCAGTACTCCCACTACTGCCTCCATGATTGGCCCAGGAAGGGGACACAACCCAGATCAAGACCGTTCCCCTGCCCCGGGCTGTGAGTCAGAGGAAGAGGCTGACTCAGGAAAAGGGGAAGCACCGTCATCATTTCCATTCATCATCATTTCCACACTAGCCCATCCTGCCCTTTAGATCTGGGCACCAATAAAGGCGTCTTTTGTGCTTGGCTATGTGCCTGGTGCTTCTTTCCAGGGAGGCCTGAGGATGGAGGTGTCTCCCCTGCCCCAGACGGGGCCTCCCAGAGTGCCATCGGACTCCCCAACAGCGTGGCTCCACGGGCACCCTCCTGCCACCACCTCAGCATTCTCTGTAAAGTGGATTCGAGGGCTGGCCCCATGTTTCCCACTGCCTGACCACAAAGGAGCCTCAGGCCTGGCATGGCCCAGTGGACCAGTCAGCTCCATACTGCAAGGCCAGCGGTGGAGCTGGCCCCTTCCTTTTCTCCTGCTCCCACTTCTTGGTCTCAGAAAAGGATGGAAGGGCCCGAGTGGGCAAAGGCTGAATAAGAGATAAGGTAGGAGGCTTAGCAGAGGCTCCTCTGCAGAGTGAGGCCAGGGGAG